AAGGAGACACACAGAGATTTATGTGTTTTTGTCAATGCTCTCTCAAGCCTAGCTTCCTATTGTCTCCCTATACTCATAATCTTGCTATGATAATTGGCCTTAGAAACTATCAATGATTAATCCTATCATGTACTATACCCGTTTATATCAGCATCCACTAGAAGTCCAAGACTCCCAGGTCATCAGTTAGCCATCACCCTAAACTGAATCTCACATCCTTCCTTATGCCCTAAACCTCCTAAACTGAAGGGTCATCATCAGTAAAAGCCCCATATCTTCAACTTTTTCTCGGAACATTCCCTTCACCAAAACCTGTTATCTCCTTAAGGGCGCTGACTTTCCCATTGCCCTCTCAAATGAGAGTTGTTTTCTTTTCCACACCCTATAGTAGAGGTGGTGAGCTTCTTCCTGGTTTCTCATTTTGGCTGCCAGGCTATCCCTTTCTCCTGCCTAAAACTCTCCACTTCTTCTGAAGCTCCTGCTGCAGAGTATTCCACATGATACCCTGTCTTTCACAGTCATCACAATCACAGTTTCTTGAAGATTTTAGCACTAGATTTTCTGCTTGTCTTTTCAACACTCTTCCTATTGTGATTCTTAGCGATATCAATACACAAGCAGACACTCCTTCCAGTACTCAGTCCCGACCTTTCCTCCAATGATCTTGTTTTCCACACAACTGCAACTCTGACTGCTATATCCTAGACCTATAATTTCTAACTTTATTGCTTATAAATTCATAAAAGAATTTTGAAAAACTACATACTGTCTTGCACTTTTTTTTTCCTTTTAGAAGTGCAATGCAATCTTGATTCTCTCCCTTAACAAAGGCTGAAATGTGTCCCTTCCACTTCAATCACTTGCTCAACCAGCCATACTGCTGGTGTCATTTAATTCTTTTTTCCCTATTTGTCCAAAATACACAAGGAGGCAGAAGGGGGTCTAAGCCTTGACTGATACCTTTTCACTTAAACTTACGTGGCTCTATCTGTGAGAAAACCAAGTGGAATCTCTGCTCCAGATTCAAAGCTACCTCCATTTATTTTGTACAATCTTTGGGTAAAGCCACTAGTGACAGAAAGATCATAATGCAGAAACTACAAGAGATTTTACAAGACTTGCAAACAAAACTGGATAGCTCCAAAGCATGAAGATAACTACAATCCCAGCTGCTGTCCAGGGTGCCAGAATCGGTGTGATTAAATAGCTCGGAAACTTTGGAGAATGGCTCTGACTTCAGTCAATGCCTAGCACATTTTAAGTTGATATTTAATATGCTTCTAGGTATAAGTAAGTTTAATTTTGTTAATAAAAATAGAAAATGTTAAACATTATATAATATGAAGACTACAAGTGGAAAAATGTCATTATAAGTTTGATATGACTAAGAGGAACTGCTTTACTGAATAGATCTTGTAAATTTTATCCATGTCAATTTTATCCAGTATCTCTGGAAAAACTTAATAGTCCTGTAAAATACCCAAGTTGATTTTAAAGGAATCAAGATTACTAATTTACATGGTATCTTTTGTTTGCAATTTAGAATATTCCAACATAGGCCAAAATCTCCTGTTTCTAACTCTGAATTTCAGCCTTAACAAAAATATATATAAAACGAGGAAAGACAGATTTGAGGTGTCTTGATTAATCACTGTAGGGAATATCCTCAAAACCAGAATTCAGTTTATTCCTTTGTTTGGCACCCAGGAGAATTTTATCCCTGGCTAATGGATCATAGTAAGGTTTTGTTTGGGTGGAAGGTAAGCCTTTCTTTTGAAAATGGACTGTTCTCAGGCAGATCAATTTTGGGAAAGGGTACCTGTGGAAGTTCAGGAGCTGGAAATTGATTCCCTTAAACGTATTTGTGTAAGGCGAAACTAACCTGTACAGTCAGAAGCCAGGATAGAGTCACCCTTGGTGTGTGTGGGGGTGGGGTGGGATAGACGACATTAACAAAGTCTTTACTGCTTGTCTTCCTCAATCATCTCTTGAATCTGTTCATTTCTCTGAATGTCCATGGTTACTATCCTGGACACCCCACTTCCAAAGCTTGATGACTATAATTGGCTATGAATTGCTCTCCCCACATTCACTCTTTTTATTCCTCTAACTACCCTCTTCATTTCCCCTAGTTAATGGCTATATTTCCTATGGGAGCTCAATTATTACAACTTGAGGAAGCATCCCTGACCCGCTATGTTAAAAACGCCTACTGTATACTCTCATAAGACTATGTATCACTCCTCAATAAAGTTGTAATTTTACATCTATCTGTGTCATTGATGTTTCCCCATAGGGAGTAAAATTTATGAAGGCAGATGGATGGTAATTAGTCTCTGGGTGATGAACATGATGTAATCTACAGAGAAATAGAAATACAATGATGTACACCAGAAATTTATATAATGTTATAAACCAATGTTACCTCAATGGAAAAAAAATCTACAAGGGCAGAGAATGTATCATTCATCACTCACAATTACATGCCTAGTGACCAGCACAATCCTATCACATAGTAAATACTTGGAGGAAATATCTATTGAACAAATGAATCAATGGTTTTTAAAATTGAAGAGGAACTTGTCTATAAATTGAAATCCTACATGAAAAACTGATATGTCCAGCAGATAAACAGATAAAAGTGGAACTGCTCTGATTTGGAGAAGGGAGACAGATGTAGGAGACCCAGAGCCCTTCCACTCCCACTCGTTCCTCACGGACTCTGACACACCACCAGAGAAACTCGGAGCTCCAGGAAACATAATTTGAAAATAATTAGCCTACATCAAGCACTTTTCAACCTTTTGTTCCCAGGATTCCTTTACACATTTAAATTTGAAGACTACAAAAAGCTTTTTGGGGGCGGGCCTGGTGGCGCAGTGGTTAAGTGCGCATGTTCCGCTTCAGCAGCCCAGGGTTCGCTGGTTCGGATCCCGGATGCAAACATGGCACACCATGCTGTGGTAGGCATCCCACATATAAAGTAGAGGAAGATGGGCACGGATCTTAGCTCAGCGCCAGTCTTCCTCAGAAAAAAGAGGAGGATTGGCAGCAGTTAGTTCAGGGCTAATCTTCCTAAAAAAAAAAAAGTTTTTGATGTTGATTATATCTGTTGATATTTACCCCATTAGAAACAGAAACTGATACATTAAGAAAAACACATTAATTCCCTAAACTTGACTATAATAAATCCATTACGTTAACATAAATAGCATATTTTCATGAAAAAAATACATTTCCAAGTAAAAAATTGGTAAGAAGGTATTTCTTTACATTTTCGTAAATCTATATCTGCATTCAATCTGTTACGATGTCTCATGTCATACAGCCTCTGGAATATTCCTCTGTATGCTCGTGAGAGAATGTGAGTGAAAAACACAAGTAACATATTAGTCTTATCATGAAAATGCTTTGACCTCCTGGATCCCCTGAAATGGTCTCAGAGACTGTCAGCACATCTTTAGAACTGCTGTCCCAGATCCAAAGGTCTATTCTAGCTAGTATTGATACTCCAATTTAATTTCTGAGATCCTATTGACTGTTCTGAAGATCCTAATTATTATCAAAATAATAACGAAGAATGTGAAGTGAACACTAGGCAGTGAAATGTTGAACTCAAAATATGCAATTACTAGTTCATTTCCTCTCTCCTCCTAGCCTGGGAGCTTTGGAAGAAGGAATCGGGTCTTGATCCATTCTGCATCTTTGGTCTTTAGGTTGTCTAACACACAATAGACAATATTTGGTGGATGAATGAATTTAACTGCATAGAATGTACAATGCCTACACAGCCTATCACACTTTATACAACCCACAGCAAACTGTGTTTAATCAACATTTAACAGTGTTCTTAAAGTTGTCATCATGATCCTATCAAGAAAACCATCGTATACATGGTATTTTAATATGCCTTTAAAAACTCCTAATCACTTTCCTCATGACGTATCTAAAAATGGCCTTTGACTTCAAGAACAGATTGTCCACCTGATGTAACGCTTAATTTAATGAGGGAAACAAAGTCACGATGGCTGTTTTTCTTCTTAGATTTTAGGTTTAAGATGACCTTGGAGTGGGGAGGGGAGCAGAACTGCCCTCCATATTAAAAGTGGGCAGGCTCCATACGCTAATTTTACTCTTCCTCATACACGGCACTTGTGTGTTGCACACTCTCTGCAATATACCATGCACAGACGACCCAGATCCCGAATCTGGCAGGAGTATCATCCCTGGAAAACACCCCTGGGGGGCGTGGGTGTCCTGATTCTCCAGGGATCAGGGAGGGGCACTAACTGGTCCAGTCAAGACAGGACTCAGCATCCTCCAGACGTGAGGCGTCTCCTTCCCAGAAGCGGCGATTCGGACAGGATCTGACTAAGCTTTGGGCCGCGGGCCCGGAGGGTGCGGCGAGCGCAGGGGCCTGAAGGGAGGGTCAGGGGATTAAGCCGCTGGCGGGTCTGACCGCAGGGTCTAGAGAACCAAAGGGCAAGGCCAGCCCTCGAGGCTGCTGGGGAGACCGGAAGGGGGGCGGGGACTTTCCGGTCCCCTCGGGCCGCAGCCCGCCCAGTACCCCCGCAGACCCAGTGTGGCTGACCTGGCCCGCGCACAGCACCACTTCAGCGCCGACTGTCAGCCAGGACGGGGACACAAGGAGGGAAGCGGGGCCAGAAGCCTGAACCGCGGCCTCCAACTGCAGGGGAGACGACAACCCAGCCTTGACGCGGCGGGAGCCCCAACCCGCCGCCCAAAGCAAGCCAGCTGCGCACGCAGCTCCGCCCAGAGCCGCTCGCGGCAGGGGCGGGGCCGCTGAGCTGGCCCGAGCGGATTCGCCCAGGCGCGGCCAAGGGCGGGGCATTCCCCGCCCAGCCACGGCTAGCCACGCCCCCTCTCCCCGCCCCTGAGCCCTGCAGGAAATAGGGGTGGGCCCGGGCCTAGCGTGGCGGGAGGAGGGGCAGGGATGTGGCGGAGGGCAGAGTCCTGGAGGGCCTGGCTGCGGGGTAATGAAGCCTCCGCCTTCTTGGGCAGAAGCCTTTAAATACGGGCTCGGGCCCGGGGCTCGGGGTGCGGCGCTTGGTAGTCCGAGGGAGGGACGCGCGGCGAGCGGACATCAGGAGGAGCAGGGCACGCGTGCAGAAGCTGCGGTAGCGCGGCCCGGAGCGAGGAGCTGTCCGAGCCGTCGAGGTAGGAGCGGACGCTGCGCTCGGTGCTTGGAAGGGGGTAAGCGCCTTTCCGAAGTTGGCCCCGCCGCCGGGTCAGGATGCTCCTGGGTCCCGGCGGAGTGTGGAGGGAGCGGGGCGGGGTGTGCGCGCTGCTCCTGGTCGCTCCCTGCGCTGGGTCCCGGGCTCCTCCTCTGATGAGCCCGCGTCTCTTCTTTTGGGCTCTGGGCGGGAATCACTTTTGGATCTGCTGCCCTGGGAATCACTTTTGGATAGCTTGGCCTTGTTATTCATGACTTGCGAATCTTCCAGCTGCATCTCTTTCTGTTTTTTTCCCCACTTTCTGACTTGAAACAAATGAGATTTCCCTGGCGCCTCAAAAAGCCGAACATCCACCGAAGGAAGCGGTCCTCTGGTTAGGGACCCCATTTTGGTCTCAGTCATAGTCTTTTGTTTGTGTTTAGAGTCTGCTCACCTGGGGGGCTGCAGCTTTCCTCACTGGCCGCTCTTCTTAAGAAACCAAAGAGAAAACGAAGCCAGAAAGCCCATTTGAAGGGGAAATCCTAAGATATTCTATCCTGACATCTCTATGGGCTGTCCTGGAATCCATTGTTGGCCGCCACACCATATAATTGCTTTATTTCATGTCACGGAAGAGCTTTCTTGGGTGCTTCAGGAGATCATTTTTGTATGAGACTTTGAAAAATTCTACCTCTTATATATAGGAAGATGATTGAGTAAGGTTGAGAATTCTGGTATATAGAAAAGAGGGATTCACTGGGAGGGAGCTTTTCACGCGTATACAGAGGAGTAGCTGTCCATTGACTGCCCTCAAAGACACAGTGAGTCTTTTAGTTTCTTCATATCCCCTGAGAAATGGAGAACAGTAGTCTGGTCTGTTTCTTCAGGGGTGTTCTGGAAATGAAAGAGCGTACTGTCTGCTCTGAGATGTGCTTGTCAGTACCCAGCATCTAGTTTAAGGTAAGTGGTAGACAACCCTGACTGAAAGGATCCCATTTCTTCTCCCACTGCTGTACTCCTTTCTCTAACATGAAATTTATGACTAATAACATACTCCATCTTCCCTCTTGCTATTTTCACAGCTTTATAAGATACCCTTTAGATATAATGTTAACACTGTCTCACTGATTACCTTTTTCCCTCACTGATTAACTTTTTCCCTCACTGATTAACTTTTTCCCTCACTGATTAACTTTTTCCTGGGTCAGGCATCTGTTAGTATTTAATTTTTGGAAATGGCTAAGATGATGTGTGAAGTTGGTGTATCCAGCTATAACGTGCATTGCCTTAGCTGCTGGGTAATTATGAAGAGTGCGCTGAGGAGGGATGGAAGTGGAGGGGTTATATTCAGTTTAGCTTGTAGTAGGACCGTTGCTATTTGTTAGCACACCTTCTGGGTTGAAATATTGGTCTGAATTTATAAAATTTTAGATGAAGAGTAGTTTTGGAACAGTTTGCTATGACTTCCCCAAGATACAGAGGTGAAAACTCGTTACAAACGGACTCATTCAGTAAGCAAACATTCCAGTTTCCCTGACAGCACAGTAGAGGGTCAGAAGGTACATAAAAGTAGAAATAGAAAATGGAATCAGAAGACATCTGTGTCCGGCGAAGTATATTGCTAACACTGTATCAAGCTCCATATTAAAACTTTATTGAAGATATTATTGAGGGCCGCCCAGTGGCGCAGTGGTTGAGTTCTGGCGCTCCCTTTGGCAGCCCAGGGTTCGTGAGTTTGAATCCTGCGTGTGGACCTACCTACTGCTCATCAAGCCATGCTGTGGCGGCATACCCACATACAAAATAGAGGAAGATTGGTTTGGATGTTAGCTCAGGGACAGTCTTCCTCAAGCAAAAAGAGGAAGATTGGCAACAGATGTCAGCTCAGGGCCACTCTTTCTCACCAAAAAAAATAAAATAAAAGTTAAAAACAAATTTTTATTGAAGCTTCCAAGTGACAATTTATTTGGACTTGCACAGATTATACATCCAGCTTCTTCAGTAATTTTCCCATTCTCATCTACAAGCCATGCTTCATATGAAATGGCAATGCAGGGATACCCAAAAACACATGCAGTTCTATAATATAGTTTCGTCTGCCATCAATAGTTTACCCCCAGCTGCTGTATGTAAAGCAAGCTGAATATGGCCTGGAAATCAAGATGGTAAGAAGTAACTCTGGGAAGACATGCTCAAGTTCTACCTAATGAAGAGAGAATCTTAGGATTCTGGGCAATCTCTGCAAAAATACTGTAATCAGCCATCTGACCTAAAGATAGTCAAACAACAGTCTTTATCTCAAAAAGATAGGCTCTTATGGAGAGCTACTCATTCATTCAATAAATGTTTATTGAGAACCATTAGCCTGGGAGCACCTTATTAGACTCTGAACTCCTTGAGCCCAAGAGGTGCATCATGTAGACATTCAAGCCATGTTTATTATATGAATAGTAGCTGAATCTGTTCTTGAGATTGAGAGCATAGACTGCCCTAATAACCACTTGGCTGTGGGATTAAGAGGTAACCCCCAAAGATCCTCTGGTCCAAAAATACTTTTGAAATTCCATTTTTTAAGTATTCTGGGTGTATTGGTTTTTTTTTTTTTGAGGAAGATTAGCCCTGAGCTAACATCCACCGCCAATCCTCCTCTTTTTGCTGAGGAAGACTGGCCCTGAGCTAACATCTGCTGCCAATCCTGCTCTTTTTGCTGAGGAAGACTGGCCCTGAGTGCACATCCGTGCCCATCTTCCTCTACTTTATATGTGGGATGCCTACCACAGCATGGCGTGCCAAGCCGTGCCATGTCTGCACTTGGGATCTGAACCGGTGAACCCCAGGCCGCCAAAGTGGAATGTGTGCACTTAACCACTGCGCCACCGGGCAGGCCCTGGGTGTATTGGTTTTAATTAGAGAGGAAGGCTGGCTAGCTGCCCAGTAAGGGTGTTACAGTGTGGTAGTTCTTCAGGTTTTCACAGTTCAGGACTTGATCTTCAGCCTTGCAGATCTGGAAGGCAGATTGCTTTTGTCCCCATGGACCCAGAGTTAGTGAGGCTTTAGGTGCTAGCTGATGATGATTAAGCTTAAAAAAGACTGATGGATACATTAGAAACTGTATCTGTCATATTCACTATTGTATCCACAGTACATAGAACAGTAGTGGCTGTTACATAGTAGAGTGTTTAATAGATGTTTTCTGATTCAATTTTTCCCTAAATAAATTGTTAAATACTTTAAAATCAAGACTTATAGCAGGGCTGGCCTGGTGGCACAGCGGTTAAGTTCGCACCTTCTGCTTTGGCAGCCCGGGGTTCACTGGTAGGGATCCCGGGTGCAGACATGGCACTGCTTGGCAAGCCATGCTGTGGTAGGCATCCCACATATAAAGTAGAGGAAGATGGGTACGGTTGTTAGCTCAGGGCCAGTCTTCCTCAGCAAAAAGAGCAGGATTGGCAGCAGATGTTAGCTCAGGGCTAATTTCCTCAAAAAAAAAAAAAAAAAAAAAAGACATATCTCTCTCTGGCCAAATTCTCTGCTATGCCCACACAGTAGATCCTTAAATTGGTAATATTAATTTTCCCTGAAGGAGGAGAAGGGAACAGGCCTGAAGCAAGTTGGAGCAATTTTTCTGAAACCGTATGCCAAGCCTTTTCTCCTGTAGAGGTGGGAACAGCGGCAGTGAATGCTGGAGACACACCTTTGGTAAGCCTGCTCCGGGCTCAGCTGTCCCTCCCTCAGGTGGGCACTTTTCAGGAGAGCATTTCCCTGAGCTGTAGCACTTAGCCATCCCAGTGCAGTCTTTTCCTCCCATGCGGTTTCTCTTTCTCCTTGTGTATAGGGCATTGGAGGCCTGGAAAGTGGTAAAGGGCAGAACTGAAAAGTAGAAGAAGAGTGAAGGAATGAAAGATGGATGGTTGCCAAAAGTCGATTTTGCTAGGCTCAGGATTTTTGCTGAGGTGAATCTTGGAATCCTAAAAGTTTAATAGAAATATCATATTTTTATGGCTTCACAAGTGATAATAAGGAACTCAACCCATTTATTTAGATTATTAAGGAGAGAATCTACCAGGTTTAGCATAGTTTAATATTTCCTGGTCAGGACATCCACACAATGGAATGTATAACATTATATAATGGAATGTATAACAGTGTAACTGTTAAAAAAAAGAGAGAGAGGAAATGGACAGGTCTTCAGAATGCCTTAAGTGAAAAAAAGTCAAGTGTTGATAGTGTATGTGGTATTCTACATCCTGGGCAAGGACCTAGCCCCACTCATCAAAGGACCTAGCACCACTCCTCGGGCCATTCTGAGGTGGCGTCCCATACAGCACAACCAGAAGGACCCACAACTAGAATATACAACTATGTACTGGGGGGCTTTGGGCAGAAGAAGGAAAAAAAGATTAGTCCCAAAGTCCAGAAATGGGCTCTGAGATTATATTCCCTACACAATTTGACTTCAGCAATTTACTTTTAAGTATTTGACAATGATCTTAAACTCAATTTCAGCTTTAATCAGAAACCATGAGATGATTAAAGGAAAGTAATTTCTGTAGTTACCAAAACTGTTACACAGATTTTTATTGAAGTAAAACAAAAATACAGAAGAGGGCATATAATGAGTATGGAAAAGTATATAGCTCAATTTTCACCAGTGAACGCACTATCTGTATAGCATAACCACTATACATATCAAGAATTAGAAGAATATTAACAGTAAATCAGAGCCTGCAGTGTATTCTCTCCTAGGCGAAACCCTGGGCCGCCGAAGTGGAGCACGTGAACTTAACCACTCAGCCATGGACTGGCCCCTGGATCTAATCTTAATATCTGTTTTATTTAGCTAAGCCAGTTCCAAGGCTGACCTTTGTACAGCAGCATCTATTGGAGCAAGAATTGCACTGTGGTGTTCACCTTTGAACTTTCTGTCAGCAATCCAAGTTGTTCTAGTGTATTGGAGACCTAAGTAAGGGTTCTTTTACTTCTTAACTTTCTAAATATTAGATCGTTATCATCTTTGTGGCTCTTCTCCAGTAAATATCAGTTACTATAATTTTTTTCCCGTAAGTTTCATGGTAGTGCAGCCGAGAACAGGCTAAGTCATCCAATCAGAATGTTATTTTTTATTACTGTTTTCATAATTCCTAGTGAGTATGAATATAGAGAATCTTTCCAGATATGTCACCTTGACAGTTTTGATGAAGTGTGATGAACATGCAGTGTGATTTCTTTAAATCTTCTGTTTTCAATAGTAGAACAATTACTGTTTCCTTTCTAGTACAATCATGTTTGAAATTAAGAAGATCTGTTGCATCGGTGCGGGCTATGTTGGAGGACCCACATGTAGTGTCATTGCTCAGATGTGCCCTGAAATCAGGGTAACGGTCGTGGATGTCAATGAATCAAGAATCAATGCATGGAACTCTCCTACGCTTCCTATTTATGAGGTAAATCATGGTAAACAACTCTTTGTTTTCTTACTATTTTTGTTAAATAACTTACTATTAATGTAAAAATCTATGATGGCAGCTGATAAGAAATTAAGTGAAAAACCTAGATATGCAATGTTATGGACATTATAATTATCTCAAATGTGCCTAGGGAAAATGACTGGAAAGAAGCATATTAGAATATTAATAATGGTTGTATTAGGAAAGTGAGATTATGGGTAATTTTTTTCCCTTCTCTGTTTTCTCATTTTATCTATTATTATGGTTACCATATTGTAATAGTAAAATTAAAAAGTGGCATTCTGTAAAAATAAAATAAATAAAACTGTGGATGTTTATAACATTGTCATATGTGTATTATATTTTTTGATTGTTATACTTATATCAGGCAAACCTTGGATAGATAAATGATGTCTCCCATATTTAGTGTTTAGTATCACAAATTTGCTTAATTGGAATTTTAAAATTTCTGTGAAGTTAGAGAATTTATAATTAGGAAAAATGCTTCTAATTATTTTATTAAGCTACGTGGGACCCATTTTTAAAAATTTCACTGTAAAATGAGTTCATGATATTATGCTTTTGAAGCCCAACAGAGAAGCATTTGAAAATTTGATGGTAGTACTTTTTCTCCAACATTAATATAGTCTTCTTTTTTTTTCAGAAAAGCTTTGTTATTTATAAGATATTATCAACCATAGTCTTTAAGTATGTTAGGCCTTTGTAAAGGAAGTCTTTTTTTAAGAAAATTACTTGTTTATTTATTTACTTATTCCAGTAACATTCGTTTATAACATTATATAAATTTCAGGTGTGCATCATTATATTTCAATTTCTGTGTAGATTGCATCATGTTCACCACCCAAAGACTAATTACACATGTGCCTACATGTGTACATGCACACGTGCCTAATCACCCCTTTTGCCCTCCTCCCTCCCCCGTCCCCCACTGGTAACCGCCAATCCAATCTCTGTCTCTATGCGATTGTTTGTTGTTGTTTTTATCTTCTATTTGTGAGTGAGTTGTACGGTTTTGACTTTCTCCCTCTGACTTATTTCGCTTAGCATAATACCCTCAAGATCCATCCAGGAAGGGAAGTCTTAATCCAGTTTTATCTGTAAGATAAATCTACCTGCTATTTATAGGCACATGAAATATAGAAAACCATGAAAAGCACCCCTTGGGTAGGAGCCACTCAACATCACGGATTTACTCATATCTGAATCAGACTTAGAATAAAAAAAAAAATACCATTTGTGTATGGGGTAGTTTCTGTTTGTGCTTTACCTTTTCTTCTGCCAGATGACCTGCCCATAGTGCTTCTTTAAACTCCTCAGTGTTATACCATTTCTTTCCCTGTGATAAGTATAACATTACTGCTGTATTTGATTTTGGGGAATTTTAAAAAACATTTTGGAAAGATAACTTGATAGAGTTTTATAGAATTCTGATATCCATAAAAGGGCTGCAAGGCATCTGAAACCCTGTAAGCCATATTTATATCCAATTATTCAGTAATTAACCCTGCCAGCAGTGTGCCCTAGTGATAAAAAACAAAGGGCACCCATCAGAATGGCTAAAATTATTGCTACTGACAATACCAAGTGTTGACAAGGATTTAGGGCAATTAGAATTTTATACACTGCTGGTCAGAATGTAAATTGGTACAGTCACTTTACAAAGTTATTCAGTAGTAGTTACTAAAGCTGAAAATATGTAGTCTGACCCAGCAATTCCACTCCTAGGAGTATATCCAATAGTACATATGTGCACCAAAAGACAGGTAGTAACAGTGCTATTTGTAATAGTCCCAAATGGCAAACAACCTAAATGTTAATCAGCAAAAGAATGGATTTGTAAATTATAATATAATCCTACAATTAAATACTCTACTGAATTGAAAATCAATGAAACTACTCCTGCATGCTATAATATGATTAAATTCGCACAAAAGTAATGTGTTGTCAGACACAAAGTAGTACATACTGTGTAATTCCATCTGTGTAAAGTTCAAATATGGGCAAAATAATCTCTGATGATAAAAGTCAGCATGATGGTAATTTGAGGGCTGGTAGTGACTAGGAGAGAACACACTGCAGGCTCTGATTTGCTGTTAATGTTCTTCCAGTTCTTCATATGCATGGTGGTTATGCTATACAGATGGTGCGTTCACTTGTGAAAATTGAGCTATAAACTTTTCTATACTAATTATATGCCCTTTCTGTATTTTTGCTTTCCTTCAATAAAAATTTTACTTAAAAACAAAAAACAAAGGGTATCCTGAACTAGAAAAAATATATAAACTATTTATAATATATTGGCATTAGACATTTTTCATGGAGAAAACAAAACAAAAAAATCAATTGACCAGGCTTGTTTTCTGGCCAGATTCTTATTATTGATATTACTATTTCCATTATTTGAAATCCAAAACTCTTCTTCCTAAGACTTCAGTGCTTTAAATTTAAAATAGTGTGTTCTACATTGACATTGAACCCAGTTGGGATATAGAGTTAGATTAAGAGAGTTAAGATCTAAAATGATTTCTTTTCCATGTCTTGTTTTTTTCTCAATAACCTACCTTTTAAACAAAGATAGGTTTAAACAAAGAAACAAAGATATTTCTTGTTGTTTCACATTTCTATTTCATAAATAAATTTTTTCTTTGAATCTCTTTACATAGAATATAAAAGATTTGAAAGGCTAGCTAGCGTTGTGCCCATTAGAAGCAGTGTCTGAGTTCTAAGAACTCTGAAATCCCATAATTGTATTGACTTTATTTAATGTTTTTAACTATTTGGTCTTTAAAGTCTTATTTTTATCTCATTTTTAATATGTCTACTCCAGAAAATTAGATGATGATAACATAAGCAGCTATTTCAGGTCTGTACTATTTAGTGTAGCCTACAAAGGAAGTGGGATCTTTTTCCAAAATCCAGCTGGCTTTGGAGGTTAGAAACCTGGCACTGCTACTTTGAAATTACTCTTTGCAAGTGGAATGATTTTCCTCTTAGCAAGTAAATGACTTTAGGCTTGTAATTTTCATGTATCTTTCTTAGACATCAGTTGAGAAAAGATACCTGCTTAAGAAATTACAAATCAGAAGAAAATAAGTGATTTTTGTAAAGTTGTGTTTAAAAACAAAAGACAAAAACTTGGGGAAATGAATTGTGTGACCCAGTCATCTATTTTCAAAGATATGTTAGGCCTTTGTCCCATTTTTGTTTCTTTATTTCATGTTGTAAAATGGACTATTCCTGCACATTTCCTTGGCCATATTGGAGATGTGAAATGTTAGGTGAAATGTCAGAACAGGAAGAACTATAAAAGGAGAAAAACGAATGGCAGGTTTAACAAGTTCTCACTCTGGTTTCTGAGTTGCTTTGTGGAGTAGCTTATACATACTGTTACTGGTTGTGATTTTATACTCACCTGCCTTGGACAGGGCGAAGAAATGTTTTTATTTCCAGCGAAAACTGGGATACCGCTGCAATCAACTTCCTTCTGGAAATCTGTATCCTATAATGCATTTTTCAATATACAATGAAATAGATATTTGTTTTCAAGGATATTAGAAGAATCTATGGCATCAGTTTTTCATTGCAAATAACACGTTTTCATGTCAGGTAGTCCCTATTGGTGGCTAATGTTTAACTGATGGCCACTGAAAGAGAAATGATAACTAATACGTAATTATAATATTTAATGTGCTCTTTTGAATACAACGTCTCCTTCAGAGTTGTTCCACCCTCTCCCCATCCACTCGGGGACTCACTGGACTAATTAGAGAAATATTTATGAGGAAAAAGGGTAGGACTTGATTGTTGATTATATAAGAAGGATGAAGAAGAGGGAGGAATCTAGAATGATAGCCGTGTTTCTGGTTGGATGACTGGGTGCACAGTTGTGCCATTAGTTGCGATAAAAAATGCAGGATGTTGTGACAGTGCTGGGAGGTGAAATGGTGAATTCTCTTTGTTTGGTCCTTTTCGGTTCTAGAGGCTTTGGACATCCAAATAGAGATGTTCAGAGGGCAGTTGGATATATATAAAAGGTTTAGGCAAAGAATTTAGTGCTGGAGATGTAAAGTTAGGATTATGCAGGTAGTAGTTAAAGTCAGAGTGGTTGAACTCTCCCAAGAAGAGCCTGTGGAGAGAACAGAGCCTGGGTCAAGGACAGAACCCCAGACAACTCTAATGTTTGACGGTGGGTGGAGGGGGAAATGCCATAGAGAAGCAATGAAGAATAGTTCAGAGAAGGTGAACCAAAAACCAGACGAGTTTTAGTAGTGCAAGCTCCATAAAGATGTATATGTCTTGATTATGAGTGACCAACATGGTGACCAGCTCATAGTAGGTGCTCAATAAATATCTGCTAAATGAATGAGTAAGCTGTCAATTATGCCAAATATAGGAGAAATAAGGACTGAGACATTTTCACTAAGTTTGGTACTGTAGGGGCCATTGTAACTTTTGCAAGAACAAGTACAAATGGAGGAGACTGAGGAAGTGAGAGAATGTAGGAAACTTATTTTAAGAAGTTTAATTTAGAAGGAAATAAAGAGTGGTCACTGGAGAGGGGCACAGGGTAAAGGCAGTGATTCTATTTATATTTTTTTCTAGGTCTGATAAAGGATCAAGCATGTTAATAAACTAAGAGCGACAAATCACATAGAGAAGGAAAGGTCAAAAGCATAGGAAGAAAGGAGATAATTGATGGAATAAAGTCTAGAAAGATAGCGAAAGGATGGGATCAAAAATGCGAGGGGAGGATTGGCCTTGAAAGCCTCTCCCTCAGAGACTACGGGGAAGCAAATGAGGATGGGTAAGGATACAGACAGTCTTGTTGGTGGGGATGAGAAATAAGATGACTGACACGTTAGTAATCTCAATTTTCTGGCAGTGGGAAGTAAGATATTCTGCAGAAGATAAAAGGGGTTGTGTTGGGTCAAGTACTTGCAAAAGTGGAGGTTTGGAGCAGTAATCTCAGACTAGAGAGCACAAGTAAAAAGATGATCAGGCCGCATTGGAAACCCAGCTAAATATGCTTAGAATCCATGAGCTTATGTATATTATGGTTTTTTCTTATCTTATAGGCTTATATTTTATGGGCCAAACTATATTCATAAAAAAGTAGTTATTTTTACTGCCTGCTAAGGAAATAGTAATGCCTATCAGATAAACTATGGTAATAAGATATTTAAATTTTTATTCAGAAAATAGTGTAATAGATGTTAATATTTAACGAAACATTTTGTTTTGTTACCATATTTATTGAATAGTCATTGCTTTTCATTAGCTTTGTTCATTAAAAAGACAATTTAATAACTACATTTTAAAAAACAAAATGGATAATTTGCTTTACTTTTTCTGGGCAAAATAAAAGATAATTTACCCTGTGAAAGGATTAAACTTCTTCCATAAGAAGTACCATATAAATTCTAAATACTAATTATGATAATTACATAATGAATCTAATAAGAGGTAGAGCCCATATTAACTACTTCTGCATCCATTTTAGAGATCTACAAATATCGCATTGATTTTAACAGAATATTGTAGTTGTTCATTTGAGGTCTTAGTATAAATTCTGCATTGCTCCAATTTTAGGTTATTTTAATTTAAACATTGGGAGATTATGTATAGGACTGAATTAAATCTTCTCTGCAAAATCCCAACTCCGTAATCTGTCACTCTCATTTTCTAGAACCTAGTCAAAATAACTAAGGAAATGGTTACTGTGACTGGTGACGACATAGTCGTGGTTGTAGTGGTTCATATATTTTGCTGATCTTGTTATACGTTTTAGTCAAATTAATGGAAATTTGAGTTTACATTTTATACTTCTTCTAATTGCTTATGTTAAAAGGCCTCAGAACCATGAAGAAAAAGTGAATTGCCTCTGGATATAATTCTAGCCCTGTGGCCCCTGAAGTGGCTTTTTACTTTGCTATATAGAGAGTCTTCTAAACGTCCATAATGTTGTGGATGTTGTTTGCACCTTCTCCTCTAAGAAGAGTAAGCTCAATGGTTTATGTCTGTTTTGTTTTGTTTTGTTTTTGCTTTTTATTATGGAAACTTTGAGACATGTAGTAAAAGCAGAGAGAATAGTATAATGAATCCCCATGTGCCCATCGCCCTGTTTCAACAGTTTATCAACATGGCCAGTCCCCAGTCCCAGCTACCACCATCCTGTTTATTTATAATTTCGTTCATAAACATTTCATTATGTATCTCTAGAAGATAATAATTGTTTTTAAAACCTAAGTATGTCACCACTATCACCAATAAAAATTTTACCAATTCTTTCTTTTTTTTTCAAAAGACTTTATTTCCTTTTTCTCCCCAGCCCCCAGTAAATAGTTGTATATTCTTAGTTGTGGGTCCTTCTAGTTGCGGCATGTGGGATGCCTCCTCAGCGTGGCTTGATGAGCAGTGCCCTGTCCGCACCTGGGATATGAACCGGTGAAACCCTGGGCTGCCGCAGGGGAGCGCGCGAACTTAACCACTTGGCCACGGGGCTGGCTCCCCAATAATTTCTTTATATCAAGAATTCTTGGGCCGCCCACTGGTGCAGGGGTTAAGTTCACGCATTTGGCTTCGGCGGTCTTGGGTTCGCCAGTTCAGATCCTGGGTGTGCACATGGCACCACTTGGCAAGCCATGCTGTGGTAGGTGTCCCACATATGGAGTAGAGGAGGATGGGCCTGGATGTTAGCTCAGGGCCAGTCTTCCTCAACAAAAAGAGGAAGATTGGCACAGATGTTAGCTCAGGGATAATCTTCCTCAAAAAAAAAAAAAAAGAATTCTTATACATATCCTTCTTCCCACAGTGTATTTGAATCAGAATCCAAGTAACATTCATACATTGCAATAGATTTGTAACACTTAAGTGTCTTTTAAGACCATGATATTTTATCTCTCTTTTCTTCTCTCTCTCTGTTTTTCTCTTCAGTTTGTTTGTTGAAAAAACCGGGTTGTTTATCCTGTAGGAATGTTTATAGTCTGGATTTTGCTGATTGGCCTCGTCTGGTCAGATTTAGACCTGATTTTTTGGGGGGCGTGGGGGTAGGAATACTTGTTAGGTGTTGTTGTACAGCTCAATATTCTGAACAAAACTTTATCTCCTGTTAAATTGTATGGGAAAAGTAACAAAATTTTCAATAGAAATGTTTCTTACAGTGGGACTTAGAAAAAATATATATTTATGTATGTATAGAGTAAATATTGACTGTTTCACAACCAGTTGTATGGCCTGAATTCTTGGGTGTAAAAACCTGTGTTCATAATGATGAAGCAAAATCAAATGTTTGCTCGAAATCACAGAAGACATTGAATTTTCTGATAATTGTGTTGATTCTTACACAACAATCAGGCACATGGTAAATTATGACACAGCATTAAAATGAGCTACTGCTTTAATTGTGGCAAGTTCACTTTTGCTTTATTTACATGACTTACGCTTATGACCTGTGGTATATGACTTTTGATTTTTCAACAAAGGTGTTATTTGAGAACAAGTATACACCTTTGAATTACAATATAACCTTCTCCTTTAACAAACATAATTCTTTACTGTTAGATTATCTCATAGGATTGCTTTATTTTTTTCTTTTTAGCCAGGACTAAAGGAAGTGGTAGAATCCTGTCGAGGAAAAAATCTATTTTTTTCTACCAACATTGATGATGCCATTAACGAAGCTGATCTTGTATTTATTTCTGTAAGTATTTTTCTTTGTTATGTGAGTTTTAATGTATTCTTGTTTTTACAGAAGTTTCATTGTATTTTAATCGTAAATCCACTGATGTTAACTCACAGCGTTACTTAGTGTAGAGTTGTCCACTTGAATTTTGGTTGTCACTGGCTTTGTCCAACACTTCACCAAACCCTATAATCATCTGGTCAAGTATGTCATTTCAGATCATTGAAGAGATAAATTCAGAGTAAGGTCTAGTCTGAGATCTAGAATTAGGAAGTGCTGGTAACATGTGAGCACATGTGGTGATAGGATATATACTTTATCACTTCTTGTTTCCACTGGTTGGTAGAAGTGAAGGAAAGAGGATCAGATAAAGTTCACCTGCAAATTTATAGGCATCTTCAATCTAGATGAATTATGTTCCAAAAGTCATTTTAAATTAATTGTTTGGAACTTGGCATATGTTGGATGGATTATCAGGCTAGCCCAGACACCTTCAGCTCGTAATATGACTACACTATTTTATCTTTGTAATGAAAAAAAAAATAGAACCAATGCTTGGGAGTAAACTCTGGTAATCCAATGTTTAAACCAAGGTAACTTATTTCTTGCTGTCCTGGTAACCATCTACTCAAATATTCTGCTTGTGATGGTATAGTTATCACCAGTTGGTAGCTGAGCTAGGGTGTTATATGACTCAACACCTTTAAGGCCTTAAGGAATAATGGGAAAGCTGATGGTATGAGTTTTGACTGGGTCCCACGAGGTAAAGGAAAGCAACGCCATGGGGTCCATAGAGGGTAGATGCTGTTGAATTAATTATGCATATTGTTAATGATTGTAAGCTGTTGAATAAGGGTTGTTTTCTCACTGGTGAGACAAAAGCAGTACTGTGAAGACGTGAACTCCAGAAGAAAATGGTAATGAAGACAACGGTAAAACTGTGTTATGAATTCAGTCTCTCTTGTCCTCCTTAATTACTTCTATGACTCACCTACCCATCCTCTTCTTTATCTTGCAGAAGGTTAGAGTAGAGGCATAGGAAATAAAATATTTTGGAGTAGGTAGGCACTTGGAGAAAATCAAGAAGTTGCATTAGTCCAGCTTTGGATAACCAGAGCCTGGAATGGGATGAAGGGAATTTTCCGTTGAAATATATTTTAAAAGAATCTATTCTCAGGCAGTAGAGTTCACCATAGGGTGGTATGGCACAGACAGTTAATGTGTTACACTTGCCTCTCTGCAGACTTTGTATACCTGTTAGGGTAATTTATTCTGTATAACTCATATCTAGTTCCCATTATTCTGTGGATCAGTTTTTTTCTTTTTTTGCTTGTTGGATACTTTTCCTTATGGAAAATATCAATATACAAGAGATGAAGATAATAGTATAATGAACCCCTACTTACCCATTCTCAATTGTCAACAGTTATCATGGCTGATCTTGTTTCATTTACTGTTTCTCTCCCTTTCCTCCTACCCAAGATTTTTTTTTTTTTGAGGAGGAAGATTAGCCCTGAGCTAACATCTGCCACCAATCCTCCTCTTTTTGCTGAGGAAGACTGGCCCTGAGCTAACATTCATGCCTATCTTCCTCTACTTTATATGTGGGATGCCTGCCACAGCATGGCTTGCTAAGTGGTGCGTAGGTCAACACCCAGGATCCAAACTGGTGAACCCCAGGCTGCTGAAGTGGAGTGTGTGAACTTAACCTCTGCACCACTGGGCCGGCCCCCCAAGATTATTTTTAATCAAATTCCAGATAGGAATAGTAGTTTTATACAAATCAGTTTTCAATTGTTATCTTAGAGCTCATTTACAAGAGGAAGCCATCTGGTCATCTCTCATCTCAAGCATGTTTCACATTATCCCATCAGCTGTCTTTGCCCTTCTGTACTCCATTGCACCCTGACTTCCGTGCCCAAGTCTTTTCTTAAGTTGTTCCATGCACATAAACAACTTTTTCCTCCTGATTTTCATACCTCAATTCAATCTTCAAGTTTTGACTAATTTTGCCTTGATTTGTTTATTTAGTTTCCCATTAGGTTATGAGTGTCAAGAGAAGAGAATTGGTACTACTTACCACTGGTTCAAAAATTATTCCTATATAGAATTTTAGACTTTTCAGAGTACTTTTACTTTTATCAGTGTTATAAAACTCATGTGTTAGACTTTAGAGAGTGTGTTGTGCTCATTTTCCAGTGAGATCGTTGAGGCAAATGCAGCCATACTTCTCCATGGCTGCATGATATAGTTAAGTCAAAACTAAATGCCTAGACTCTGGACTCATGATTTATTTTCCTTTCTATTTGATAGTCTTTGTCTACATAGTATTCTGTATCCTGAAGATGCTGGATAATTTCTAGCTTTAATGAGCCAAGAAAGCATTTGTGAATGATACTTCAAACATTTTTTAAAAGCTGTTGATATAGGTCTATAAAAAAGAAGAGTAAAAAAGGAGTGTAAAGTTTAGTTTTAAAGACCATGATAATATATTACATACAATAAAGAGAGGAGGGGCCCGTCTGGTGGCGCAGCAGTTAAGTGCGCACGTTCCACTTCAGCGGCCTGGGGTTCATCAGTTTGGATCCTGGGTGCGGACGTGGCACTGCTTGGCAAGCCATGCTGTGGTAGGCATCCCACAGCTAAAGTAGAGGAAAATGGGCATGGATGTTAGCTCAGGGCCAGTCTTCCTCAGCAAAAAGAGGAGGATTGGCAGCAGATGTTAGCTCAGGGCTAATCTTCCTCAAACAAACAAACAAACAAACAACAAAGAGAGGAAGAAGAGAAAACATACATTTCATTTCAGACCGTGAACTTCTAGAGGATGAGATCTGTTTCATTTGTCTTTATATCTCATTCATCTGGTTTTTTTTCTTCTTCTCCCCGAAGCCCCCCAAGGACATAATTGTGTATTCTAGTTGTGAGTGCCTCTGGTTGTGCTATGTGGGACACCACCTCAGCATGGCCTGATGGGCGGTGCCATGTCCACACCCAGGATTCGAACCAGCGAAACCCTGGGCGGCTGAAGCGGAATGTGCGAACTTAACCACTCAGCCACGGGGCTGGCCCTCCTTCATTCATCTTTATATGTATATCTCTCCAAGGGCTTAGGTTGGAACCTGCCTGGCCTGGTATCTGACACATACATAGTAGTTTCTCAACAAAAATTTATTGAATGAGTTCTCCAGATGCTTCAAGTTGTTCCTTTTAGTGATCATATTTATAAAATGTCTTATTTCCACATAGCTAATAGAGGGTTAAATCAGGGCTACTGATAATAGTTAGCTTCCCAATTGACTAGTTAATTGATGGTCTGGGCATATCTTGAAGTCACTGAATGGATATCTCACAGATATTCTGTTCTTAATCTCGTATACTTTCATCAGGTGAACACGCCAACAAAAACCTATGGAATGGGGAAGGGCCGTGCAGCAGATCTGAAGTATATTGAAGCTTGTGCTAGACGCATTGTGCAAAACTCACATGGGTACAAAATTGTGACTGAGAAAAGCACAGTTCCCGTGCGGGCAGCAGAAAGTATTCGTCGAATATTTGATGCGAACACAAAACCCAACTTGAATTTACAGGTATTAAAAAGGGAAGCATTAGAATCTGGCTCTTCTTATGTAGCTATCAATACCTTAAAGTTGTCCATAATTAATTCTAGCTTAAAACTTTCCTTTACATTGGGATTCTAGGTACTGTCTAACCCTGAGTTCTTGGCAGAAGGAACGGCCATCAAGGACCTAAAGAACCCAGACAGAGTACTGATTGGAGGGGATGAAACCCCAGAGGGCCAGAGAGCTGTGCAGGCACTGTGTGCTGTATATGAGCACTGGGTTCCTAGAGAAAAGATCCTCACCACTAATACTTGGTCTTCAGAACTTTCCAAACTGGTTGGTACATAACATTCAACTCTCCATTAAATTTAAAGCCAAGGCGTGATTTCTCTTAAGCCTAATAAGCTACATAGATACTTTCTTAATATTGATAAAAGACATGCTTTTGAAGATAATTTCCTTGTACATTATGAGATATTTTTCACAAGGGGGATCAATTATTACAGCATAAAATATTCTAGAAAATTCTAAAATTTTAATAAAATGTAAGATAAAACGAAGGGTACATTAAAATAGTAATTTTGAAAATCACTCTTTCCCTTCTTTTACCCTCTTTCTTAATCATCTTTCTTCCCTAATTTAAAACATTTCCCCTTACCAACTCATCCACTGCCTCCTCAAATTAAGCCCATCAGTCGCTTTTGTAGCTCCCTTGGTAATTTGTATCAACTCAGTGAAATATAATCCAGATGGATAATATTGCTATTTTAACCCATCGTGCTTTTCTTTCTTTCTTTCTTTTTAAGGCAGCAAATGCTTTTCTTGCCCAGCGGATTAGCAGCATTAACTCCATCAGTGCCCTCTGTGAAGCAACAGGAGCTGACGTAGAAGAGGTGGCAACGGCCATCGGAATGGACCAGAGAATTGGAAATAAGTTTCTGAAAGCCAGTGTTGGTAAATTGAAATTTTTCTGTGCATAAAGTGGGTTCATTTAGCTAGATCCCCAATCTTAAATAATGATTAAAGTAATCATTCCATTTTTCATGTGATCTTGAGCCTATCAGGGACTTTCTAAGTGAGGAAATAATTCAATGTACATTGTTTAATGGTTACTGACTGATTAGTATGATAAACATGTTTCAGTGTTTTAGGAGAAATAAATTAGTATTTAGTTAGAACATTTAGGAAGAGTAAGTTTGGGAGACCAGATGGGAAATAATTCGAGTAACACCTTATTGAAACCAGTAGTAAGAAATTCTCTATCATTTGCTTTTCCTACTAATATTCGTTTGGAAATGTGGCCTTGGTGAAATATAGTTGATCCTCATTATTTGTGGATTCTGTATTTGTGGATTAGCCTACTCACTAAAATTTGTTTGTAACCCCAAAATCAATACTTGTGGTCATTTGCAGACCTGAACAGAGCAGAAAAAATTTGAGTCCTCTTCCACACACATTCCCAGCTGAAGCTGAATAAGACACTGCTCTTGCCTCTTGCTTTCAGCTCTCATACTTGTTTTCAGCTCTTTTTGTGGTTTATTTAATGCCGTATTTCTCACATTTTCGTGCTTTTTATTGGTAATTTCACTGTTTAAAATGGCCCCGGGTCTACTGCTGAGGAGCCAGAAGGCTGTGGTGTGCCTTATGGAGAAAATGCACGTGGCTGGATAAGCTTCGTTCATGCATGAGTTACAGTGCTGTTGGCTGTGAGCTCAATGTTAGTGAATCAACTGTATATATTAAATAAGGTGTCTTTAAACAGAAACATACATAAAACAAGATTACATATCAATTGGTTGAAAAACTATGAGCAGAAGCTCACAGGAACCTAACCTCGTACTTCCGCTAGAAGCAATGCTTCAATATTTGCTAATTCAGTGTTTATGACAATTTTGTAGAACATAACTAGTGGGTATAATGAGAACTAACTATATATTTGGATATAAGTTAATAAGGTCGATGTAAAGGTAAATAGAGTCTTTTATAGACTGAGACATAGGCAGCCCTTCCTTGTGTCTCATGGCCTTATGCCATTTCTCAATACTGGTTTCCCTGGCCTTTTCTGTGTTTTTGATATTTTTTTCTAGCTACCATTTAATAAAAATAGCTACTACTGAAGGCATATTATGCACCGTGTTCTGAACCAGCACTTTATATATCTCGTTTGTTAATCCTTTTAACCTGTTACAAAGGTGCTGATATTTCCTTTATAGAGGTGATTGAGGATCAGGGAAATTTTTGCAACTTGCTCAAAGTCATACAGCTAATGAGTGCTGGGTGTTTCTAACTCAAAGCCCATACAACCCTCAGTGTACACTGCATTGCACTAGAACAGGGGTGGACAAACTATGGCCCCCTGGCCAAGCTAACCCACAGCTTGTTGTTGTAAATAAAGTTTTATTGGAACATAATGCTCTTTTAATTACATGTTGTCTGTGACTGCTTTCTAGCAGCAGAGGCAGAGTTGAATAGTTGTCCTGGAGACTATATGGCCCACAAAGACTAAAATATTTACTGTCTGGCCCATAAAAGTTTGCCAGCCCTGTGCTAGAGTTAGTGATGTGGGGGCAGTATACCAGATGAATGAGGGAAAAAATAGAAAACATAGCCATAATGAAACTTCAGCTAAATTGTTTGGAAATTATTTATAGAATTGGTTAGTCGATTGCAAAGATCACATAATTTATAGACTCACTAATTTTTCAACATCCGAATTTTATTAAAAATCTTAGCATAGGCCATCTGATTTAGTGTGACAAAGAAATTTATCAGGGCCCGCCCCCGTGGCCGAGTGGTTAAGTTCTCGTGCTCCACTGTGTCAGCCCAGGGTTTTGCTGGTTCGGATCCTGGGCGCGGACATGGCACCGCTCATCAGGCCATGCTGAGGCGACGTCCCATATGCCACAACTAGGAGGACCCACAACTAAAAATATACAACTATGTACCGGGGGGCTTTGGAGAGAAAAAGGAAAAATAAAATCTTAAAAAAAAAAAAAAAAGAAATTTATCACTTGATTCAGTTGTGTGGTTCCCTAAATGAAAATATTGTCCTTTTTTTTTCTTCAGGTTTTGGTGGGAGCTGCTTTCAAAAAGATGTTCTGAATTTGGTTTATCTCTGTGAGGCTCTGAATTTGCCTGAAGTAGCTCGTTACTGGCAGCAGGTATTAATCTTTCTAGTCAACAACTTATGATTAACTTCTAATTAAAACATGTCACCCTTTGTGAAATGTTTCTGATAGGATTTATTTATTCCAGGAACTCAGCTATGATCATATTCAATTTTGTTTATTTTAGGTTTATTTATTAGACTTCTGTGTTTTTAATTTGTCTTTTTTGCTAATCAACTGTGATAGAAGTTTCTGCTAAACCAGTATTTCTTCTAATTTTATAACTAAATTTGCTTCCAGAGTAAAACAAGAACTATTACTCTTAATTATAATTCTTCTCTATCTTGAAAAGCATGGAATCAAAATCAGGGAAGAACCTGTATTGTAATGCTTTCACGTGTTTACCGTGTGTTGATATTTGTGTTGTCCCTTTGAGATTCCCAGAGCTAAAATTAGAGACCTTTCCCAAACTGGAAGCAGAGTTAACATTTATTGAGTGCTTGCTCTGGGCAGGCACTCTTTTTAAGCACTTTGCATGTAGTATCTTAGTACTCATCACTAATATTATCCCCCATTTATAGATGAGGGAGCCGAGGCTTAGGGGCATTAAGTAATTTGTCCAAGATACCAGCCAATATACCTACCTTTCCCAAATATTTTTTTCCCCAAGTTTATAGTTTTTTGGCAGCAGATGGGAATGTAAGGAAATGCATATTTTTTAGGCAAATGTACACTTTTAAGTTTATTTCACTCAATCCGGCATGATGGCTTTATCCTACTGTCCGTCTTGGGGAAAAGGCAGATAAAGCCTCGATTTTCCAACACTTTGGACTCATTTCCCAAACTCACAGGGTTTGAGACAGCCCCTAGAAGCTTAGAGCCTTTAAAAATAAAAAAGTCTTTTTCCTTATATTCATCTGGTCAGCAATATGAAGTCTTGTTTATAAACTCTTAGGAGAGTAACAGATTAGGTGATCAGAGACTTTTACTCTTACAACAGTTAAAAACTTTGCCAAATGTGTGTGGGGTTTTGGTTCATCGGAGGCACTGTGACTGTACACTGTTTGCCTGTTCTTTGTCTACTTTCTCCTCACGCTCAATCTTGGTGAGGGGTCGGGGGGAAGCATATGAGGGAGTACTCTGGGATTTGGTTGCTTACATCCTGCTTCCACAGGGTTTGGAGAATTTGGCTCAGGAGAAGAGTTTTCTCTGTGCCTTATTTAGGATGGCCTCAGAGCTGGACCTCAGATGGGGTTGAAACGTAGCTGTGCTCCCCATCTTTACATCCATCCCAGCCCGATGCATGGAAAGTTAAGCCAAATGGAAATTAAAATTTTCAGGATGGCTTTAAGGAAAGGGGGGTGGGTAATTCTTTTTTTTTTTTAACCTGTAGATACAAAAGAGGTTGGTTAATCTTTGCCTCCTGTTAATTTATAAGGCTTATATTCATACAGTAGTACTCACCATAAAACTCTGAGCAAGGCATGGCACAAGCTGCACCTCTTTTAACGGATCATCGCGTAATTGTCCATGTCATTGCAGGTTATAGACATGAATGACTACCAGAGAAGGAGGTTTGCTTCCCGGATTATAGACAGTCTGTTTAATACAGTGACTGATAAGAAGATCGCTATTTTGGGGTTTGCATTCAAAAAGGACACCGGTGATACGAGGTATCAGTTCTTTAAAATATTTCAACCCCTTTGAGAGTGTTAACACCTCCTCTTATCTTGATTTTTGATTGGTGGATATGTGTGTGAAACACAGGTCTGTATATAGTATAAACAATAAAAATAAAGTGAACATCCATATCCTCACAGAAATAGAATCTCACCTGTATATGAAACCCCTAGGTATTAAAAATATATGCTATTTAAAAGTTTAGCAGGGAGGAGGGAGGTGGGAAGAGTGAAATAGGGGGTAAGAGGTACAAACTTCCAGTCATAAAATAAATAAGCCATGAGGATGTAATGTACAGCAGAGGGAATATAGTCAACAATATTTTTTGGGGGCCAGCCTGGTGGTGCAGCTGTTAAGTGCGCACGTTCCGCTTTTCAGTGGCCTGGGGTTCACTGGTTCGGATCCCGGGTGCGGACATGGCACCGCTTGGCAAGCTATGCTGTGGTAGGCGTCCTACATATAAAGTAGAGGAGGATGGGCATGGATGTTAGCTTAGGGCCAGTCTTCCTCAGCCAAGAGAGGAGGATTGGTGGCAGATGTTAGCTCAGGGCTACTCTTCCTCAAAAAACAAAACAAAACAAAGCAATATTGTAGTAACTTTATATGATGACACATGATTACTAGTCTTATCAGGGTGATCATTTTGTAATGTAAATAAGTGTCAAATCACTATGGTGTGCATTTGAAACTAATACAATATTGTATTTCAACTGTACTTCAATAAAAAAAAAACAGCTCAGCAATACTGATTTTTTTTTTCCTTCAGAGAATCTTCTAGTATCTATATTAGTAAATATTTGATGGATGAAGGTGCACACCTCCATATATATGACCCAAAAGTACCGAGGGAACAAATAGTTGTGGATCTTTCTCATCCAGGAGTTTCAGAAGATGACCAAGGTAAGGCTTTGAGTCCCACGAATCACTTTGAATATAGGCTCCAACACTTGTTTGTTCTCTAGAAAGCTTTGGTTGTTCAGTTTGTATCATTTATATCTTTGGTAGGCCCGCTTTTCAACCCCGTTACTCGAAAATTAAACTCTTAGGCGTTGTTTCGTCAACTTTGTTCTGAAGTGATGAGCTGTGGATTGGTCTAGTGATTTTTCCTACATATTCTTCAATCCTCAGAGGTTCCAGGAAATGCTTCAAGGTTGGGAGTTCTCCAGGCCCCCATCACTACCCCACTCACGCTTCAACCAGACCATTCCATTTCTGTCAGACCCTCAACGCCTGCAATCCTGGTGTTAAAATGCATCATTTCAAATAACTCCTTTCCTATTGCCAATTCTTTCTTGCTGTTGTTACAGTGTCCCGACTTGTGACCATTTCCAAGGATCCGTATGAAGCATGTGATGGTGCCCATGCTGTTGTCATTTGCACTGAGTGGGACATGTTTAAGGTGAGGTGACAGAAATGGTATTAAGGACAATTTTAGAGGTGTCCTAGTATCAGTTGGGGTTGTGTATGTGTTCTAACTGTTCTTTTGGTTCTGTCTTTACAGGAATTGGACTATGAACGCATTCATAAAAAAATGCTGAAGCCAGCCTTTATCTTTGATGGACGACGTGTCCTGGATGGGCTCCACAATGAACTACAAACCATTGGCTTCCAGGTAACCATGATCCTGGATTGGTTTTGTTTCATTTGTTTGGTCATTTGCTTTTTAATGGTTTTGCATTTTAGAATTTTAATATTTCCATATTTAGCAATAACATAACTCTGGGGTAACTTGACTATGGGTCAGTTTTCTGGGAAGTATCTATGGGATTTTTGTAACTATTTCACCATCTCCTTAAATTTATGATCTAAAGGTTATTTCAGTGTTATATAATAGTAATATAATATCTAGGAAGTCGTCAGTTGCCTATCATAGAGGGACAAAATGTGCCCTGCCTTACCTCATATCATAAGGATCAAGTAGGAAATATGCCATTTTTTTTTTTTAACTTTTTTCCTGGAGCCACCGATGCTGCTTTCCTGAACTGTCTGCAACACACCAACCCCCTCAGAGGCTGGATTGCTTATTCCTATATGAAAGTTTTGAAAACTGTAAAACGCAATACATTTGTCCCGTGTTGGTATAGGATGCTGCAGCTTCTGAGTGCTCAGCACTGTCCTGTGCTGTGAGAGGTCTGAATGGAAAGCATGAGAGCTTCAGTGGTACTGGCCCTCTTCTAATTCAAGCTTTGTCAATTAGTTATGGAATGTTTAGAGAGCTGACAGGAACCTCGACCTAGAATAGTACATTTATATGTTGCATCTATTTCAATTCTACCAGGGGTCCCAAAAGTATTAATAAGAAGACACTACTTTCCATTTCCTCAGAGCAGTGTGTTGGGGGTGGGAGGCTCTGGGAGGTTGGTGAGGATAAAGAAATATGCCAGGAGATTGCTGTCAGCATAGTTCTGGAGCAGAACAGAGAGGGGCTGTGTTTAGAGCTGGCTGTGGGCGTCTGCTCAGCACCAGCTGTCAGGAAGAGGTATCGATAAGGTCTCATCTACTGTTCAAAGTACACGATATGGTTCTCTTAACCTGTCACCGACTTGTTGAAGATTCATCTTACTTAGAATTTAGTGCCCACTTCTCATTCATGAGTTTCTGTTGCAGCAAGGATCAAACGGCATCCTTGTCTATTAACACTCCAACAAGGACCTTAGGGACTCTTCTATTCCACTCCTCCTTAGTGAGTAACTTCATGACTGTTTTTCCCAGTCATGACTTAAACTCAGCAATGTTATTTTTTTAAAGATTATTTACAAGGCATAGACAAATTTTCTGTCATTCCTGTTTTACTCACCTAACAGAGAAAGTATGTAAAAAGATATATATTTAAAATGAGTTTGAGTTCTTCTAAGTTAACTTTTCCTAGTAAGGTTTAAAAAAACATTAGCAGGGGCCGGCCCCGTGGCCGAATGGTGGAGTTCATGTGCTCTGCTGCGGCGGCCCAGGGTTTCACTGGTTTAGATCCTGGGCACGGATATGGCACTGCTCGTTAGGCCATGTTGAGGCAGCATCCCACATGCCACAACTAGAAGGACCCACAACTAAAATATACAACTATGTACTGAGGGGATTTGGGGAGAAAAAGCAGAAAAAAAATTAGCAATGGAATCACTAAATAAAGAGAATTTGTAAGTCACTAAATAAGACAACTGGTTAATACAAAGTAGAAGCCCTTTCTTTGTGGTACATGTCAGAATTAAATATCAATTTTTAATTTAAAAGACATTTATGAAAATCGTGTAGTATATTTATCTCTGCTGTAGATAAACTTATGACTATTAAAGAAGCAATGTCTTTAAAGATAAGATTGATGATTTGGGATATTTGGGAAAAAGTTTAAAATGTACTATGCAGAAAAAAATTGACTATCAATTATTTACTGAAGCCTGACTTGTATGCCAGACACTGTGCTGAGCGCTTTATCTAATTTGATTCTTACTACAACCCTTTGAGGTAAGTGGTAGTAATACCATTTACAAGCAAGGAAGTAAGACCTAGAGAGTTTAGGTAACAAATTATCAGTCAGGATTCCAACTGGGGCCTTTCATACTCTGAAACCTGAACTCCTGAAAACTATGCTATTACAGCTTATGCATGGTTTTTAGAATAAAGGAAATGGACATGAGAATAGAATATGAGACAGAATGTGAATTAACTGGAATCTAGTCTGTTAATTGCTTTCATATATGCTACTAAAAAGTAGTGGCATGTGAACTCTGAGAGGGTCTGGTGTTGGGAGTGGCAGGAGTTAGAGGGTCTAGATATGAATATGAAAAGTGTAGTGTAGATTGACTCTAAAACATAAAAAATAGAGAAGGATCCAAAGATCTTTCATAGCAACCCAGACAACCTGAGAAACTTTGTCTGCTTTTATAAAGAAAAAATATTCTAGGTTTTCTCCCTTATTATATTTCATTATAGAGTTTTTATATTTATGTATTATAATTGTTAATATTTTTCTTTCCAAATCCATTTTGTTTTCCTAGATTGAAACAATTGGCAAAAAGGTGTCTTCCAAGAGAATTCCATATGCTCCTTCTGGTGAGATTCCAAAGTTCAGTCTTCAGGATCCACCTAATAAGAAACCCAAAGTGTAGACATTGCCATTTTTATTTGTAATTTTTTTGGTACTTCAGAATAGCAAATATCTATCTCATATTGAATGGTAAATGAACCAAGTGTTTTTAAGGAAACAAAACTATTTTTTTAATAATCAAATTTATACTAGCTATGTGGGAATTAGCATATCTGTTAATTATGAATCTAGAATATTTTTTACATATTTTTATAATATTGTTACCTCAGTGATTGGATGAGTGGCAAATAATCATGTTGGTTTTAATGGTGTCAATTTTTGTAAGATAAAAATTAAAGTTCAAACACTTTTTACTTTACAAAATATCCATAAGCAGCACTTTAATATTACATTGTAAATGCAAAGGTACTCTTCGGTTTTTCTGATCATCAGTTTATTTACTTGTCATTGGATATGTATTTTAAACCATGAAATTGCTATGCTAAATACTGCGCTAAAGGTGTTAACCTTTTAGAAAGTGTTATGGAGACTTAGAGGTTTCTGGATTTATGGGTAAGATGTTTTCCAAGCCATTTCTTGTCTTTCTGAACTTAGAAGGAGGATGCAGTGGACAGAATAAGGCCTTGAGTGCTTTTTTTCTTTCTTTCTTTGTATATGCTCAGAACATTTTTCCTGTGCTTCCATAACCCTCCAAGTACGGTTTGGTTAATGTTGCATTGCTCCTCTTGTTTTAATAAACTGTGTTGTTGGTTTTTTAGTCCCAAAAGATCATCATTACTCATTTCCAGTCAATCCGAATGAGATTAAAAGGCAATTTTTTTAACATGAAGAGAAAAATCAGTAGTATGGTCTATTTTATTCCTCTACACTGCTCATTTTTCCTCATTGATCGTTATTTTTTTAGTCCAAGAGCCAAAAATATTTGTTACCTTGACTTTGCATTTTTATTTTACTCATTGCAATTTTTTCCCTTTTTCTTTAAATAAGAAAACCAATAGAATCTCATGTATGAATTTAAAGACGTTGACTTTACAAATTATGGATAGCATAATTTCTAAAATAAGAATTTTTGTGTATTTCCATCTGCTTTTTTCTTGTCTCTTGTTGACTTCTATTTGATTGTTTTCTCTTGTGTTTTATCATTATTGACATATGGCAGATGTCCATTTGCTGCTTATGCTCTGCTGGGAGGGTACAAACTGAGTGACACAGATACAGGCCTCATTCTTGAGGAATTTTGCAGTTCAATAAGAATACACAGACAAATACAAAGATGACACAGAGACGTTGTCTGTACAGATACAAGTACATAAATAAAATATTCTGCATCAACAACTGCGTGGGTGTAGTTTTGTCATAGTGCAAGTAACTAATGAGTCACGACGATCTGACATTAGACAGGAAAAAAATCACTCTTTACTTTTTTGAGAAAAGGGCATTACATCATTCTTTCAAATGATGTAAGAAAGGGAGGGAATTTAGCAAATAGACCAGGTATTGGCAAACGATAGCCCATGAGCCAAATCTGACCAGCCAACTGTGAGCTAAGAATGGTTTTTGTATTTTTACGTGATTACATTTTAAATGATTATATAAATCCCCAATTTGCCGGTTGGCCTGAAAAGCTAAAATATTTGCTATTAAGAAAAAGTTTGCAGACCCCTGAGACAAACACCAGAGTGTTTGAACATAAGATGAGCCCTTACTCATAAGATTTTGAAGTGAGGATGAGCTTATTATTAAAATTTATTTTACATTTCTGCTTGAAAATATTCTTGTGTTCTGCTTCATAACTTTATATTCTAGTAAAGGGATTATAATCCAAAGATGTCTTGCTAAAGCAGATACTTTGGTTTTAAGTTGCAGTATGTTTTAATGCCTACAAGTGATAAGTAATTACATGTAAAATATAGTTACTGATTAAAAGGTAAGAGAATTAGTAAGTGGAGGAAAATGGGCAAAAGACAGCTCATAGAGCCATATAAATGATGTTTGTGATGGTGAGAAAGAAACCCCGGTAACTGGGCAGGTAACTTAAGACAGCAATTTGAGACCTTTGTGTGAAAAGTTGCAATAGGTGGTTAGCCTTTTTTCCCCTATTAAGAAAATTAAAGACCATGTGGGGTTTTTTTTAATTAATACAAAATTTTCTTTTTTTTAAATCGGGGTCACAGTGGTTTATAACATTATACAAATTTCAGGTGTACATCCTTTATTTTGACTTGTGTATAGACTGCATTGTGTTCACCGCCAGAAGTCGAGTTACCATGTGTCACCATACACATAGGCCCCTTCGCCCCTTGTGCCCCTCCCGCCCCCCTGGTACAAGTTTTCTATTTTTATTAGCTAGTATTTTTTTGGTGGGGGCAATGAATATTGGTGAGAATATTAACTAATAAAACTGCAAATAGTACAGAGACATGGTAAAAAAACATTCAAATAGATACAAAAGGGTACATAAAAAAGTAAAATCTCTCTCCCATAAAGTGCTCTCCACTTAAGACTTGCAGCTTTAAATCCTGACTGCATTGCTTTCTCTAGCACGTGATATCTTGGCTAAGTTACCAGAAAACCTCATTTTCCTCACCTGTAAAATAGAATCTATCTCTAACTCAAAGAATTGTTATAAGGATTACATGAGATCAATGTTTACACAAAGACCTTATTGGCACAGTGGCTGGCGGGTGATGGGCACTCCTGTTAGACACCATAACAAGCTGGTCCCACTGAACCAAAGCCACGTTTAGATTCTAGAATCACTAAGAATACAGTAATTAACACTCAGCATTACAGGGCAGGCACTACACTAAGCCCTGTAGGTGCATTTTCTCATCTATTCCTCCCATAATTCCTTTGAGATAAGTTCTATCCCCATTTTCAGGTGAAGGGCAGAAGGATAAAAAGATCAAGTGACTTGCTTAAGGTCACAACAGTTTGAATTGAAGCTGGAAGCATCCTAATTTTAGAGGTATGATTGTTAAAGGGAGTACCTGTGGCCTTAGGCGAATAATGGAATAGCATCCCAAGGGAAAAATCAGAAGGTGGCTAGGGCAAAAGACCATGAACAGCAGCTGAGAAGGATGTGAGTACATGCCCTTCAGTCTCCCGGGGAATCCCAAATACTTACTAGAAAGGGGTCTGAGGTTCTCTAGGAGGATGGGGAAGGGGTGTTAGGGTTTGGCAAGACAAGCTAGTGAAATTAAGGTCTAGCGGTCCATGTAAGTTTGGGCTTCATTTAATTGTCAAAATGGAGACACTGATAGTTACACAACATTGTGAATGTACTTAATGCCACTGAATTGTATACTTTAGAATGGTTAAAATGGTAAATGGAAACACTGAAGATTTTCTTTTTAAATCTAGTCATTTTCTTAAAAAAAAGAAGATATTAACTTTGTTAGTCACACTAAGAGACTCATCCTACAGCTTTCCAGAGCTTGTGGGCCCAAACTAGATGTTACCATGTAGTTTATTTATATATTGACACTGTATTCAAGTTTTAGGCCAAAATTCAAGAAGAAATATATCCTAGTGCCAGCCTTGCAAAATACTTATAAAGGACCTTTAAATTTCAGGGCATAAGTTGGATTCAGTGACCTCTTGCTCCTTTCTTCCCTTCCTGTTTCCTGAATAGAGACAGAGAAAAGAGACTACTCATTGTAGATTCGTAATTTACAATAGACCACTACTAACATGGGCTTGATTATTTTAGGTGAATACACATTTGCCTTAATTTTAAATTAGGCATTTATTTTAAAGGCATTAGAATAAACATCACTTACAAGTGATATAGTATAAAAACTTGGCTGCTCTAACACAGACCAAAAATTATAGCATCAAATAGAACAGAAATGTATCTGTCTCTCACACAACAGTCCAGGTAGGTGGTCCATGGCTGGTCGAGCACTTCTACAGTCATCAGTGGCCCAGGCTTCTTTACCTGGTTGCTCTGCCATCCTTGACACAAGTCTATCGCAAGGTCCAAGATGGCTGCTTCAGCTCCAAAGTCATGTTCTCACTCTAGCCATGAGGGAAGGGGAAAAGAAGGGGAAGGTACCACCACCCCTTAAAAGCACATTCTGAAGTAGCACAAATCATTTCTGCTTACACACTTGGTCCAAACTTAGTCACACATCCCCAACGAGCCGCAAAGGAGTCTGGGAAATATGAATTTTTAGCAGGATGACTAACCATGTGCCGGCTAAAAATTCTATTATTGTGGAAGGAGGATTATGGAAATTGGCGACAATTAGCAGATTCTGCCACACACATAAAATCCATATTTTCATTGCCATTATTACTGATTTCCACTATGGTAAGGATATAAAGTTTCATTTTAAAGGGATTTAAGTTTAGAAATTCAGACAATTGTAAAAAAAAAAAATTAATATATAATACTGTAGTTCCCATCCAGGTAGGGCAAAAATTGTGAAGGTTGTATGTGAATGACCGCAGTTTAGGAAATGCAGTAGTAGGTGATAGATTTTAATTGGTAACACTACACTTAGGAAACTACCAGGGATGTTAGTTTTTCTAACACTAAAGACCAAGCCTACATGATGGCAAACAGACAGATATAAAGTGAAAATTAAGTATTATTTGTTTTCTACCAATGATTTTCAAACTGCGCCCAAGCATCTCCACAGAGGTGCTTCAGGGATCCTGCAGATAACTCATTTAAATATAAATACATACATACACACATGGATGATTACAATATATATGTAAAACTGTCTACAAAGCTATTAAGAGGACAGTGGTCAACGTGGCATGCTGAGCACACGTTTATATTCTCTCCATTCCAATGACCCCTTTAAAATTACAGCAAGGCGGGGAAAAGGCAGAATCCAATAAAACAAAGGGAATAGGAGGGGATGGACAGTGGTCAACGTGGCATGCTGAGCACACGTTTATATTCTCTCCATTCCAATGACCCCTTTAAAATTACAGCAAGGCGGGGAAAAGGCAGAATCCAATAAAACAAAGGGAATAGGAGGGGATCATCAGTGGTCAAGAAATTTAAAGAAATTTCTGGGAAGCACTGGATGGATGTGTACTGACTGAAGAGAAGAGCTGCTCCGGGGAATCCTGGTGTGAGGGCCAGAGCAGGAAGCCCCGCCCAGCAGAGCAGCAGAGGCTCTACCCAAAAGGAGCTGGGACGGAGAGGGGCACACACCAGGCTTAACCGTAGGCCTCTAACTTGAACAGCCCACCTCATCTCATCCACCTCCAGAGGCAGAATGACAGGCAGCCTGACATTTATATCCATGCGACTACATCTCCCAGCCATAGGGTCAAAAAAAGCAGGTGGGGATAGGGGAGGGGTCTTCTCTAAAGAAACTGACTAAACCTCTTGGGGAGAACTAGAGCAATGAGTATTGTTCTGCGCCAGAACAAAGCCCTCCACATTCTACATCCAACACCAGCTGTCTGTCCATTTGCCCTAAAGCAAAGCTAGCAAGTCAGAGGATTGTCTGGACTTTTGGTTACCTGTGCTGAATTAAACACATGCAGTATTTTCATTCTCTGAATCCTTACTAAAACGGCAGTAGAGGAATAAGAAAGACAAGGACAAAGAAAATAAGAAAGGATGCACCAGTGGATGAGGGATGTCAACCAATTTGCAGAAGGTGGAAAGCAAGGGAAGGCTAAGCAACTTACAAAGAGCAAGCAGAAATTTCAGGGCCACCAAAGAGATGGCTTTCTAGATGTAGGTAATTGGCCCCTTAGAAGATCTCAAGATTGGAGGCACCAGATACCACAAAAGGTGGAGTTGAGATGTGAGGCCGCAACCGGGGCCTTAGATAAAAGCCTGTAAGGAACGGTTAGATGCACCCAAACCTCTACTACCCCACACCAAGAAATAACCTTTCCCTACCCCTGCTCTCAAAGGATAGGAGAGGTTTATCTCCAGGAGGAAAGAATCAGGTTTCAGACTTGGGGACAGTGTTAGTGGGATGCCAGACTGGAAACAAGGGAACTAAATAAAAGCCTGCACACTGAACAGAGACCCACGCTCCCCTATCCTACTTGTTTTTACCCATCCAGCTCTCAGAAAGCCAGCAGCCAAGTTTAGAATCCTCAAGGCAGGAGACTTGAGAATTATTATTTTTTTTTAAACTTGAATGGCTTTAGAGAAATAATCCTGACATTTGGGAGTTCCTCACTGAAAACTCCAGCTCACCCCGTAAGCACTCTACAGTGGAGCTCTTTCATTTAAACAGCTCTCCAGCCCACCCCGCCCCCCTCAGCTCCCAGTCAGTTTTAGAGTGGCCCCCACTTAGTATGCATGGACAGCCCAGGACCGCCAGGCATCTGAGGATAGCCTTCAA